CGGCTATTTAACAGGATTCCCAGCTTCTTCGTTAAAAACCTCCCCACCCCCCACAAAAAAGACAAAAAAAAATTAAGATGAAATAATTAAAAAAAAAAAGTAAACAGGGAGCTCATCATCGAAATAAGTCAAAATAACGAGGCGATACGATCACAACTCTCTTTCTTTCTTTCTCTCTCTCTCTCTCTCTCTCTCTCTCTCTCTCTCTCTCTCTCTCTCTCTCTCTCTCTCTCTCTCTCAAACACACACACACACGATTCGAGGGGGAGGAAAGGAAAAAAGGAAAAGGGGAAGGAGTAATTCGAACGGAAGAGAAAAGAATGCGAAGGGGAAGAGAAAGAAAAAGAAAAAAGAAAGAGAAAGATAGAGACACAGAGAGAGGGGCAAACAGCAACGACAAGCGGGTATGAATTAGTAACAATTTCCGGGCGGGCCACCGCGGGGGCAGTTCGGAGGGCGATACGAGAGAGGGGAGAGAGGGAAGGGAAGAGAGAGGAGATAGTGGGGAGAGAGGGGGGGGGGAAGAGGAGGTAATGGGGAGAGGGGGGGAGAGGAGCGAGAGGGGGGGAGGAGGAGGAGGAGGAGGAGGAGGCCAGGGGAGCGAGAGGGGACAGAGGGGACAGAGGGGAGAGAGGAGGGAAGAGGGGAGACAGGGGATAGGGGAGGAAAACTATTAATTGTCCTTCACACCCTCACACCCTAATTGGTGACTAATAGCGTCAACAATGAGAGCGGCTGAAAAAGGGGGAGGATGGGGGGGTTGGGGTGGTGGGAGGGGAAGGGGAAGAAAGGGATAACGGGATAAAACAGAGAGAGAGATTGATAGATAGACAAATGGACAGATAAAAAGAGAAAACGAGATAGACAGAGATATTGATAGATAGATGGCTATATAGACAGAGGGAGGGCGGGTGGGAGTTAGGAGAGAGAGAGAGAGAGAGAGAGAGAGAGAGAGAGAGAGAGGAGAGAGAGAGAGAGGGAGCGAGAGAGAGAGAGCGAGCGAGAGAGAGAGAGAGAGAGAGAGAGAGAGAGAGAGAGAGAGAGAGAGAGAGAGAGAGAGAGAGAGAAAGAAAGAGAGAGAGAGATCAAAGGATTATTCAGGATAGATACGATTTAGACCGTGGAGTGGACCGGAGAGGGGAGAGGAGGGGGAAACGAGAGGCAGATAAAGAGAGAACGAGAGAGAGATTACGGATTAGTAATGCCTTTTAATAAGAAAATATCCCCTCTACAGACAAACCAATTTCTCTTACACAGTTCAAGTGAGATGAAATTCCTATATTTGTCCTTCGCTTTATTTACCGACTTTTGTATCATTTTAGTATTGTTATTGTAGTTTGTTGTTACTATTATTGTTATTATTATCATTTTCTTTTTATAATGACCTTTATTATCATTATCCTAATCATCATTAATATAATCATTATTATTAATAGTAGTACCATCACCATCGCTACTATTACTCTCATCATTATAATTATCATCATCATTATTATAACCATCATCAATACTACTGTTATCGTCACTGTTATTGGTTTCTAAAATATACTATTCCACGGAGAACGAATAACTAGCGTCTACGAAATACGGGCAGAGAAAGAGAGAAAGAGAGAAAGAGAGAAAGAGAGAGAGAGAGAGAGAGAGAGAGAGAGAGAGAGAGAGAGAGAGAGAGAGAGAGAGAGAGAGAGAGACGGAGAGAGAGAGGAGACAAAACAATAACAACAATAATGGCAAAAAGATGAACAAAGCAGATGAAGTAAGTGTCAATGAGACCGTCATCTGTCTTTAATCCAGCCACGTGGGGGAAGGGTTGGGGGGGGGGGGTGGCTGAGGGAAGAGGGAGGGGGAAAAAACGGAAAGATTGAGGGAAGAGGGAGGGCGGAGGGGAAAATAGGGGGGGGGGGATTGAGGGAAGTTGAGAGAAAGGAAGGAGAGAGAAGGGAAGATAGGGGGAGGGAGAGAGAGAGAGAGAGAGAGAGAGAGAGAGAGAGAGAGAGAGAGAGAGAGAGAGAGAGAGAGAGAGAGAGAGAGAGAGAGAAAGTAGAGAACATGAAAAGAACAAATGTAAAAACAAAAGTGAAGCAAAACAATAAAAAAGAAACAAGAACCCAAGAAAAAGAAAACGAGAGAGAGAGAGAGAGAGAGAGAGAGAGAGAGAGAGAGAGAGAGAGAGAGAAAAGAGAAGAGAAAAGACCAAAGGACCGATCGCCATCCAACTCCAACATAAGTAACCTGGGGGGGGAGGGGGGGGCGAGCGACGAATGTTATAATCCTGAAGTGGCCGTCAGCTGGGGTCGAGGGGAGGAAAAAAGTGTGGGGGGGGGGAGGAGACAAGGGAAGGGGAGAGACAAGGGGGGGGGAAGGGGGACACAAGGGGAGGGGGAGGGACAGGGGGAAGAAAAAAGGGGAAGGGAACAAGGGGAGGAGGAAAAGACAAGGAGAGGGAGGAGGAGGAGGAGAGACAGGGGGAGGGAGAAGGGAAGGAAAGCAAGAAAAGTGAGAGCAAGGAGACTGAGGGCGGGCAGAGAGAGAGAGAGAGAGAGAGAGAGAGAGAGAGAGAGAGAGAGAGAGAGAGAGAGAGAGAGAGAGAGAGAGAGAGAGAGAGAGAGAGAGACTTTGATGAACCTACCAAGGAAGGCCTTCTCCCCCCCCCCCTTCCTACCGAGAGCGCCCTGCACCTGCTCCGCTTGTCTTATCAGCAGAAGCAGCCCTCGGCGCGTGCCCCTTATCTGCCTATCTGTGCTGGAAGGCTGACACCTGCCTCTCTCTCACCCCCTCCCTCACACCTGCTGCCGACTGCCGCTATCTGCCACTTCACATCACCCCCCCCCCCCCCGCCGCTCCTTGCCCTCGGTATTTCGTGTTTTCTTCTTTCTCGTCTTCTTATCCCCTGCTTCTTTCCCTCCCAATGCACTTAAATTATTTCATCGTGTTTCTTATCTTACCCCCCCCCCATCCACTAGTACTTTCCTCTTTCCTCCATCACTCCGGCTCTCTGGCCTTTTCTCTTCTTCTCCTTTTCTTCCTTATTCCATCTCCGACTTCAAACCCGAGGCCGAGCAACCGGGGACCCGAAAGAGGGTAATTCAGGGCCGTCGCGAGAGTAGGGGCGAGAGAGTAGCTCGTGTTAACAGCCGCCACGTAGTCCGATATCTCTCTATCTGATAAGCTACTGCTACTGCGGTAAGCAAAGACACTCAGCATACGGACGAGTATCTATATGTCTCACATTAATTATACATACGAGTATCTGTGTGTCTCACGCTAAGTATACATAATTATACACTAAGTATACCTATAAGAATTCCTATACAAATCTATACACAAACCCTGCAGGCGAATATCAATACATATCTCAAAGCACACACAGAAATACCAATACGTAAATATAAATACCCCACTGAGCCACCTGTTAAGGCGAAAGGACCGCGAGCGATACGAGTGTCGGAAGTCCTAAAGCCGAGAAGGAGTCAATTGCAGAGGTTGCTTGCATTTCCTCAACCCCTTACCCCCCGCCCCATCTCCCTTTGGTCTCAACGGCAAGAGAAATACAAAGAGAAATGGAAATACAAAGAGGGAGAGTATAAGGGAATGTGGAAGGGAGGAAGAGAGAGAGAGAGAGAGAGAGAGAGAGAGAGAGAGAGAGAGAGAGAGAGAGAGAGAGAGAGAGAGAGAGAGAGAGAGAAAGAGAGAGAGAAAGAGAGAGAGAAAGAGAGAAAGCTTCGGATCGAGCTCGACGTTCCCACGGCAAAGAAAGCTCCTCCCACGCTCCTCACTTGGACAGCCACGCTCCTCCGCCATCATCTTGGCTCCCGGACCGTATAATTGTTCGTGGCTCCTCTACTCCTTCCCCTTCCCTCTCCCCCTCCCCCTCCCCCTCCCGTCCCACACATACACCGTCGCTGTATCCTCCTTCTCCTCCTCCTTCCTTCTTCCGCCTTTCTTTCTTTTTTTTTCTTTCTCACTTTCTCCCTCCGTCCCTCTCTCCCTATCTATCTCAGGCTATCTATATAGATAGACAGAGAGGGGCTCCCAATCAACCTAGCGTGCTTCTTCCCGCGCGGTTCGTGGCGTTCCGACGGACGCCGACTCACGCACGGTCGTCATGAGGAAGGGGGTGAGGGTGGTCATGAGCGCGGGGAGGGGGGGGAGATCATCATGATGACGAAAGAGTGACGTGTCGCCATCGTGTCATACCGCCTCCCCCCCCCCCCCAATCACCAAGCCCACCCACCTACTCTCACGCCAAATTAAACAAAGAGGTAAAGTAACAGGAACAAGAGGGACCATTAGAAATAACATGGGTACATGAACTCGCTCACTCGAACGTTGAAACGCGGACATCTCGACTCACTAACTCAAACGCACACTGACTCACACACGCACTGATCTCGACTCACTGACCTCAACTCACTGACTCAGACACTGACTCACACGCACTACTCTCAACTCACTGACTCACCCAACGATTTTAACGCAATGACCTCAACTCGCTGAAAACAAAATCACTCAGGAATAGAAAGACTTACCTGACTGACTGGCCGGAGCATGAAAGAGAGGAAGGAACTTGACTGAACATTCTCATACTCTTTAACAAACTAACAAAAAAAAAGAATAACTAGGCACAACTAACAAATAGGCCTATGCACGTACTTCTTTGAGGTCTGGAATATATATTTCTTTTTTTCATTTCTCACAATTCAGAAATGAAGACGTCCGGGTTTAATATCAGTGGGAAGACATACGAGAAAAAAGGTCTACCGGTTAAGTCTAGATTAATTAAAAAAAAGAGAGAAATGCATTAGCTACGAGTTAAAGAGAGTTCAAAGTTGACGGTGCAATGAAAAAACAGAACGAGAGATTTTCAACAAACTGGATAGAGGATAGGGCCGAGGGGGTAGGGGGGGGGTCACACCCCGAGGAATATATCGCAGGACGGGGGGACGTCGACCCCTCCCCCTCCCCCTCTCCCTCCTCCTCCTCCGGGCGCCGAGACTAACCTGTGTCGAGCAGTGTGGGGCGGTGGGTGTGCGGGTCGTGCAGTGGGTAGGGAATGGTGGGCGTGGGCGGAGGTTGCGCCTCTCGCTGTGCCTGCGACAGGTCCACGGGGCGGTGGGCGGCGTGTGGGCCCGGGTGGTGTGGCGTGGGCGGCAAGGAGGCTGTGGGCGTGCTCTGAGGTACGGAGGACGGAGGGTAGCCGCCCACGGGCGTGCCAGCATGACCATTCACACCGCCCAGCTCCGTCATCACGCCATCGTTCTGCGGGAACACGTCGGGCACAGGTTACGTTCAGGCGCTCCTTCGCTGCTTTTGGTAATGCTAATTATTTCTCAGCATGGAAAACAACGGTAATTATAATACGAATCCTCCCACTTACTGCTGATGCTACGGATGTTTCCTTGAAATAGAAACAAAAAATCGTGGCACAAATAACTACCACAACTACCGAAGCCAACATACCTGTGTGTAGAAGTGCTGCGGCGCGGGAATGGGCGAGGCGGCGGCGGCGGCGGTGTAGGAGACGAGGGCGTCGCTCACGCCCGGCCAGTCCTCGCGCCCTTCGAGGCCTGCGTAGCCGTAGCCTCCGCTCTGCAAGGAAGAATGGAAATCAGTTAGTCTCTCGAGTGGTCTCAAGGCATCACTTGAATGAGATTTCCGACTGGGTTCAAGGCTGGGGTTCAGTGCAAACTTTAGGGTTGATCCCATGTATAAGATCAACTATGGTTCATAGTGTGTCAATACAGATAAGACCGGATTGGAATTTGAATAAATACAAATACTAAATAGGCTGACTCGTAACTAAATCAACACAAACCAGTAATTAAGAGCCCGCGTGGATTCGGTAACTACAACCCAAACACCAGCACGTGCTCCCTCCACAAAAAATACATTACAAATCGGCAAAGCGTTCAACCTAAACGGACGAGAGGAACGCCACCCCCTCGGCCGCCTCATAAACCCATCGAAAGCTCCTCCATTAACCTCGTCCGCCCATTAACCTCATCACAGACCCCTCCCCCCCCCCTCCTAACCTTCAACCCCCGCTCTCTTAACCCATTTCCTAAAACACTCCTACGTTACATTTCCCTCTTCCATTCTCTCGCCTCTCCCTGTCCCATCCTTCATTCCCCTCACTACCCTCCCCCATCCTATGCCCCATCATTCATTCCTCTCCCTACCCCTCCCCCCCAACCCCATCCCCCCCCCCTCAAACGGTTAATCGCCCCAACCCCATACCCCTAATGCGTGACCTAATAACAAGCAGGATTCGATCACAGACGCATTTCGACCCCCCCCCCCCATCGCCTCTCCCCCTTCGCCATATGCGGTCAATTATATCTCCAGGTGTAACTATGGGGAAGTGTGAATGAGGGGAGAAAAAAGAGAGAGAAAAAAAGTTGTGCGTGTGTGTGTGAGGGGGGGGGGTGAGAGGGGATAGGAAAGAGAGAGGCAGTGGGTGGGACAAGAGAGAGATAGAAGAGGAGAGAGAATGATAAATAGATTGATAGCCAGACAGATAGAGAGATACTGAGAAAGGTAGGTAAAGAAGCGGGGAAGGGAAGCAGAAGATAAAGAGGGCGTGAGGGCAGGACGAGAAGATATGGCAAGAGGGGAAGAGAAAGAAAGAGAGAGAGAGAAAGAAAGAGAGAGAGAGAGAGAGAGAGAGAGAGAGAGAGAGAGAGAGAGAAAAGGGAGAGAGTGAGAGAAAGAAGAGGGTGAGGATTATACTCGACGCCATCACTCAAGGATAATGGCGGTGGGTCGAAAAGAGCAAAGGAACATAAACAACAAAGTACATGACGATACGTGATCCGGAATTATCACCGAATCCATCTGCCGAGAGAGAAATACTTCGTAATGCTCAGAATCATTTCCGTCCCTCTCTCTCTCTCTCTCTCTCTCTCTCTCTCTCTCTCTCTCTCTCTCTCTCTCTCTTTCTCTCTCTCTCTCTCTCTCTCTCTCTCTCTCTCTCTCTCTCTCTCTCTCTCTCTCTCTCTCTCTCTCTCTCTCTCACTCACTCACTACACGAGCACAAACCATGTCACAACCATGACCTTGTGCACCCCCACCCCCCACAAAAACACAAACACACACACAGATCAATGATCACTTACAGAAAAACACGCACAGACATTCACAGGCTTTCTCGTCCGAGATTTACGCACACAAACATTGCCGTCACGTCATCGTTTGTCGGCGGCAAAAACGAGATCCGACTCGGGTGAAACTGGGAATCACCTTAAACAGCAATAATGTTCCATCATTTCCTAATCCGATTACAGGGAATATTTCGTTGCGTAAAAAGTGTGTTTGTGTTTATCATGGAGAGAGAAAAGCTTTCTCTTCCCTTTTTCTTTTTTTTTCTTTAACTTTTCTCATAAATTACATTTGCAAATACATTGACAAATGCACATGTACACGTACATACGCACACACACACACACACACACACACACACACACACACACACACACACACACACACACATATATATATATATATATATATATATATATATATATATATATATGCATAAACAAACAAACAAACAAACAAACACACACGGAGGCTCTTCCCCTCGCTTCTCCTATCATGTCTTCCTACCCCCCCCCCTCCGCATCTCCACCCTCACCCCCTCCAGCGCACAACACGCGTCTCCCCTCCCCCCCTCCTCCCTCCCGCCCCTTCTTCCCTTAGCCGCCTTCACAACAGAAAACCCTCACTATCTATTAAGAGGAAAACCTTGTTGCGGCGGAAAAAGTTAAAATGCGCACGACCACACGCGCCCGGCGGATGTTGCGGCGCAGGCGACGACGACCCTCGGCGGGCGGGGCGCGAGAGACGACTCCGAGCGGCAAGTCGTCCGATGAGAGCGTCGTCTTGGCACTCGAAGGGGCGGCAGAAGGCACGGGCGGGAGGGCGCGGGCGAGCGACGCGACGGCGCCCGAGAGCCTCCGGCCGCGAGCCCCATAGAGCCCCCAGAGCCCTATAGAGCGAGCGCCCCGTAGGAACGAAACAAAACAAAAACTTGCCATACGTAGCCTCTTATCCGTACATGTTGGTGAGTATTGACTACACTAACAGGGGCGGGAGGAGGAGGACGAGGGACGGCGCCCCTCCCCCTCCTTCCCGGGCCCCCTCCGGCTCTCCCTCTCAGGTGGTGCGTTCCCACGCTCATCCTCGGGCCACGAAGGGCGTAACCCCGCCCCGCGCCAGCCACCCTTTCGCCCTTCGCTCCGCCGCCGGGCGCGCCGTGTTGCCGGCTTCTCAGCGCCAGCGCCGGAGGATATTCGGGAGACGAACGGCGTCTTGGCGCCCTTTCACGCCCTTCCCTCCGCTCGCAGGGACGCAGGAGGCCTGGGCGAGGACGCGGCGGAGGAAAGGGCGACGCACGGGCGCGGTCGGGCGTGCGGGTGCGGGCGAGAGTGGCCGGGCGCGGGCGGAGCGAGAGGCGCTGAGCGGCGGCCGTGAGTCAGCAGCCCAGTAGCAGCACGTCCAGTTTTGTAGCTCCGTGGGGCGACAACCATTACTGTTTTTACCTCGCCCTCCCCTCCCTCCCTTCGCCTCCTCCCGCTCCTGCTATTCCCGCTTCCTTCCCGTCCGGGATCCCTCTGCTTCCTCTCCTGGCCGGTCCCGCTTCTCCTGCTTGCCCCCTCCTCTCTCTCTCTCTCTCTCTCTCTCTCTCTCTCTCTCTCTCTCTCTCTCTCTCTCTCTCTCACCACTTCTCTTGTTTGTTTTCCTCGACTCCTACATATCGCCCTTCGCACTAGCCAGTCTTTTGCTTCTATCTCTCCTCCCAGTCTGTATATCTTCCATATTTCTCCCTCTTCTCCTCCACTTCCTCCATTTTCCCCATTTCCTCTACTTTCCCCTTCTCCTTCTCTCTCCTTCCTCCTCCTTTTTTCCCCTTGCTTCCTCCTGCTGCCGCCGAGTGAGCAGTCATTAACTCCGGCCTCGGGCTCATCACTCTCCTCCCCCCCTTCCCCCTCCCCCGTACCCCCTTGACTATTACTGCTTCATTCACCCTCTCATTTACCTGTCCTGCTCTTCCTTGTTTTCTTTATGTCGTATTTTTTTTGTATTTATTTTTGTATATTTATTCCATTCCACTGCCGTCTTTTCTTTCCTTCGTTTTGACACGTTATCAGTGACATTACAATGGTATGTTCTTCTCTCTCTCTCTCTCTCTCTCTCTCTCTCTCTCTCTCTCTCTCTCTCTCTCTCTCTCTCTCTCTCTCTCTCTCTCTCTCTCTCTCTCTCTCTCGTCTGTCTGTCCCTCCCTCTCTCCCACCCTCCCACTCTCTCATTCTCCCTTTCTTTCCTCCCGTCTCCCCTCTCCCTTTCTCCCTTCCCCCTCCCCTCTCTTCCTCTCCCTCCTTCCCCTCCCTCTCCCTCTCTCTCTCTCCACCGCCCTTCTCTACGCATAAACACTCACACACTCCCAGATGCCGACCACATGGTAAATCTCTTACTATCAACATCCATCCCAGACATCATGACGTTGCCATGCACATGCCTGCTGACTTGCGCGTGTCCGTGTGCATGACGCTATCACAGGGATACACAAGATAAACATGGATTGACCACCATCTTAGAGCTATTGCCATGCAACATTGCAGGGTCATATTTTTTGGGGGGGAGGGGAGGGGAGGGGTGATCGGAAGAAGACCGAGTCATCATCAACATCATTACCACATCATTATCATCATCACCACCGTCACCATCATCACCCAAACTCCCAACCAATCGACAAGTGCCTCATCACAAAAGCGCACATCACACATCATTACACTTCATCACACCTCATCACACGGTCAACGGCATCCTTCGTCATCACATCCACGCAAGATTATCCGATCAATCACCGCTTCCTCCGAGTCATCGAGGTCGGTCACGTCCGGGGCGTCGAGACGGCGAGTGAGGGGGGAGGGGGGGAAGGGGAGGGGATTGGGGGGGTATGGGTGATATATGTGTGGGGGGGATTTGTGTGTGTGTGTGTGTGTGTGTGTGTGTGCGCGCGTGTGTGTGTGTGTGTGTGTTTGTGCGAGTGTGTTTACATACGTACACTCTCTCACACATACACACACACACATATATATAAATAAGTATAACACAGAATAAACACATGCATACAACCACCCACCCACACATGCACACACATAAAAAAACAAACACATCTAAAAAAAAAAAAAAAAAAAAAAAAAAAAAAAAAAAAATCGTTACCGACAGGCACTTCATTAAAACAAATAAAACAATATACCCCCATTACCCCATACCCTCCCCTACCCCCCCCCTCTCTCTATGACCACTATATGTTCGAGACTGATCATCCGCTTGCTTAATTTGCATGGCCTTTCTTAGAATTCATGATCCATTTATATGAAAAGCCAGACATGTGCCGTGAGAAACAGAGAGGGAAGGGGGAGGGGGAGGGGGAGGGGGGGTAAGGGTGCGGAACGAAGGAGGGGAAGGGGGAAGGGGGGGTAAGAGTGCGGAACGAGGGAGGGGGAGGGGAGGAAAGGGGTAAGGTAGGGGTATGGGGAAGGGGGAGGGGAGGGGAAAGGGGTAAAGTGGGGGTATGGGGAAGG